AGGGCAGGTGAACTGAGAAGCAGGAAGTACCAGCACTGGGACAATAAAATGGTCCATCAAGAAGGTGGGAACCTAAGGCAAAGCTTGCTCAACCCAGGCAGGCTGCTTAGCCTCTTTCTTCTTGTTGGTTCAAGAAACGTTCCAGTACTTTCCCTTACAGACCCTCCTGCATGAAACACCTTTCCCTGAGCCTCCTTCTCCTCTGATAGAAGGCTGGAGTCTCTGCCAAGAAACTCACCTTAGAACATGATTTCCCAGCCAAGAAGTCAGGGCACTCTGGTGTGTCCCTGTGGTGTTGCCATGTGCTGGGGAGGGGGCAGGGAAAGAGGGCAGTGAGAGAGAAAAAAATGATGCGGGGGAGGGGGGATGTGTGTGTCTGGGTGTTTTTCTCCAGTTAAACCCAACAAGAGCCAAGTTCCTCTCTACACTCAGCAATGGGAGACACAGAAGCAGCAGAACAAATATATGGCTAGTCCTTGCCCTTGTCTGCATGGTCTGGGCAGAAACCTGTGGGACTCTCTAGACTCTTCGGTTCCCAAGGTGGCTGAGGAAATGAAAATCTCTGTCTTCCACCTGAACCTCCAGGCTTCCAGAGAAATCCCAGAACTCCTGGGAAAGGTGGGACCCAACCAGGCCAAGCCTGCTGTGAACACTACTGGTGTGTCAATCTTCCCGTGCATTTGGTGCCTTCTACCTCTCTTCCCCTCTTTTCCCCAGGGTGTGTGTGTGTGTGTGTGTGTGTGTGTGTGTGTGTGTGTGTGTGTGAGTGTGTGTGTGTGTATGTGTGTGTTGGTGGGGGTAGGGTAGTAGCTCAAAACAAAATCCCTTCAGGTTGTGTGGCGAGGAAGCCTGCCTACCCTTTGTGTCTTATCAGTACACGCTGGGCTCCCAGTCTGGGTCGGCTACTTTCTATCTCTCCTTGGAGGGGAGATCAGGGGTTTGCTCCGAGCCACCCACACCCCCTGACCTGGTCTTTTATGTGACATGCATTTGCCAAACAATTATCCAGACTTCGAAGGTCAGCCTGCAGCCAGGGGAGACAGAGAAAGGCGTCTTTTCTCCCTTTTCTGCCCAGCCAAATCTCCCCCACGCCGACCCCTCCCGCTTCAAGGTCTAGCTGGATTTGAGCCTCGGACCTCACAAAGCCTTCCCTCCCTCCTCCAACTGCCGACCTCAGAGCTCTGGCCGCCTCTGGCCCCTGCTCTGAGGAGCACAATTAGCACCTGACCAGTCGCGGTCCAGGCTACTTGTCCTCGCCTCTGATCATTTCAGGGTCTTAGTCATCTTTACACCACCACCTCCTCTGCTGTCTCCTCCACAGTGCCTAGCACAGGTTGGGCACACAGTACGTGTTAATAAATGGCTGTTGAATTGAAACTCGGCAGCCCCTATGAGGTCAGAACCCTCACGAGCACCCCGACCAGCAGTTCCTTGGCAACCAGCGCCGGGGCCTGAGCTATAGGGCATTACTGGTGTGGCCACTATTACAGACCATGTGAGGCTCAGCGGCCAGAGATTTGCAGGCGGGTTGGTGTTGATGAGAAAAGCCTCTGACCTCTAGGAAAGCGCCCATAGGATTCTGGGTACCTCGGATGAGTTTCCTTTCTCCCCTGCAGAACTAGTTTTCAGTCTGAGAACCGCAAAGGAAATAAATTGGCAGCGAAGCCAGAAACCTCTTTGCAGCTTAGAAATCCTGGAGAGATAACCAAGCCCAGGTTGGGGTCAGGCCCAAGCTTGAGGACAGAAGGCTGCCGGAGGCCCTTCCCAGTTCAGCAGGAGATCTCTGGGGGGTGCATGGCAGGGGGCTAGAGGGGTGTTTGGGGGTGGCCCTAAGTAATGCCATCCTGCCCTGGAACCCAACAAATCAGGCCACTGAATGCTCACCACCTGCAGCCCATGAAGGAAGCAGGTCTCCCTTCCCTATCATTCATCCAAATCCCAAGGCAATTCAGGTGATGCATCCAGACCAGAACCCAGCCAGGGTTCCCTGGCAAGGAGAAGCCTCCAAGTCTGGGGCGCCTGGCTCCTCACACTATCTCAGATATTCGAGGCTGGCTTTGGATTAGGCGTATTTATATAGATGAGTAGCCACTCTCCCTGGCTCCCTCTCACACCCCACACCCCACATGCCAACTCTGGCCTGCAACAGAAGGTATACACAATCCTGGAAGGCAGGTGGTATCTTCTTCACCTCCATTATTTTCCTCACTGCCACTTCATTGATGCCTGCTACCATGACTGGCTCTCCGCAAATGTTTGCTGAGTGGAGTCTCAGTTTTAGGCACTGTATTAGAAAACACCATAATGCTAATTCATGCTCACTATGGGCCATATGCTGTTCTAATAAGCAGCTTATGTGTATTGATGTACTTGATCTTCAGAGCATCCTTATGAAGTAGGGCTCATTTGAAAGATGAGGAAACAGAGGCATACAATTGATTGGGATCGCGTAGCTAGTAAATAACAAAGCTGGATTTATTTATTTATTTATTTATTTATTTATTTATTTTAAATTTATTTACTTATTTTGAGAGAGAGAGAGAGCGCAAGTGTGGAAGGGACAGAGAGAAAGAGAGTCCCAAGCAGGCTCCGCACCACCAGTGCAGAATAGAGCCCAACACAAGGGCTTTAACTCATGAAAACCACGAGATCATGACCTGAGCTAAAGTCAGACACTTAACCAACAGAGCCACCCAGGCGCCCCCAAAGCTGGGTTTTAGACCCAGACAGTCTGGCTCTAGGGATGGAAGATAAAATGAGAAAGTTGGGGGCTGCAGGGTGGGGAGTGGCAAGGCCCAAGGCCAAGCTTAGGAGCAGGGATTTCCCTGGGAAAGCAATCCCATCAGCCTGTGCCTGGCTGGGCCTCTTCAGAGACAAAAGCCCTGAATTTTGCAGGCTTGGGACATATTGGATATTCTATCAATCAGGCCTATGAATGACAGACCACAGCACCCTCATGTTTAGATCCCAATTTAGAGAAGACAGAAGCCACTGAGCCACCACTTAGCACTAGGCAGGGGGAGAGTGGATTTCAGGCCCCCAGCTTGTCCAGGGGTGGGCGCCAGTTCCTGAGCAACCACCGAGCAAACAGTGTAGCAGTGGGAGGAATGCCAGACATAGTTGCAAACAAGCCACTCCTTCGGCTCACAGCTAGAGGCTGGGTGAGGGTGGCAACATGGAGCCTGCTCAACACCACCCCCCCCCCCAAACATCTCAGGTTTTGAATTGAACCCAGCCCCAGAAATAACCCACATGCAAGGCAGCCTCTTCCCCACACAAGTCCTCCAAGATAGTTAAGTCCTTCACTTAACTCAAGACAGCTCCCCCACTAGGCTGTTCCTGCTCTGGGTCCACTGAATCAATGGTTGAGAAAGCACCTTATAACCATGTAACTAACTGCTATAACCATGTAACTGCGTGGAGGGATTTGCATTCTTGCCGGGCATACGTGTTCCCTAGGCATTTTTTAGTGCCAAAGTGTCCTGTCTCCCCAAAGGGGAGACCTAGATCTGTTCCCTTCAACCCCGTCCAACCTGGCACTCAGGCTAGGGGTCAGCTTGCAGGGGGTGAGTGCCCGATGGGCGTGCCCACCAGCTGCTGGGGCCAAGCAGTGGTGGCTCAGGCCCTGGGGTGGTGACCTCACTTCCGCTCCTACCTCCCCACCTCCCTAGCACTCCTCCCATTTGAGGCCCCACCAGGCCAAAATCAAGAAGTCCAAGGTTAACTGTTCCTCCCCACTTTAAGAGCTAATTAAAATGATTAGCTACAATGAACTGTCAAACATTAACCAGAAGAAGCTGCAGGACCAGACAGGCCTCTATCTGGGGTACAGGGATGAGGGGCAGGACTCAAACTGCCATCAAATCCCATGGCTGGGGTGTTGGGTGGGGGGAGCCAGGGAGAACCTGGCTGAGCTGAGGTACCAAGGGGTCAGAAGGTGACTGGTGAGAAAGGCCATGTCCCTACACGCAGTCATAAGGAAAGGGCAGCAGAGTTATGGTGCGGTGGAGGGACCAGAAATTCATAAAGTGGCTACCGCCTCATTAGTTCCCCAAAGCAAGGCGCTTGCCGGTATGGCACCCCGCGCTGTGTATCTGCTCAATCCCCTTGCCGGCAGAAGAGGAAGGAACAGAGAGGCGGGAGAAACCGGGAGAGCGGGAACGCAGGAGCGGGAGGGCTGGCGGCTTGCTCACACGGAAACTCTGGTCTCTGCCAAGAGGTCTCTATTTTGGCGATCCAATTATCCAAGTCATAGGTAGGTGTGTGTGTGTGTGTGTGTGTGTGTGTGTGTGTGTGTGTGTGTGTGTTACTCTAAGGCGCCTGGCCCCAGAGGCCCCAGGGGCCGGCTGCCGATCAATCTGGCAGCCTAGCCACTGTGCGGTCTGACCTCCCGCCCTCGAGCCTCGAGTTTTTGGGGGTCTGCTGTCTCGATCGGCCTTGTCAGGGAACCCGGGCTGCCCGGGTCGCGGGAAAACTGGCCCCCCGCCCTGACTGGGGAATTCGATTCCGTTTCTAACCCCGGCTCAGAAGCCCGGGTTCCCCAACACACACGCGGTGGGGCGAGGCAAGGGCGGGACTCAACACGCCAGTGCTCTCCCACCATTCCCTGGGCCCCCAACTCTACACGCAGGGGCCCCAGCGCCCCCGATCCCGCCCCCTCGGGCAAACTTTTCCAGGTTCCCGATGGCTCGAAGAACTGGCGCCATCGACGTACCTGAGGCCGAGTGGGCTCGGTCGCCGGGCTGGGATCGGTCGCTATGGTCCCCTCCCCGCTCCGGGGGCCCAGAGGAGGGTCCCCACCCCCGCCAGCTCGCCTACTCCTCTCAGAAGCCAGCCGGGCCGGTGGCGCCGGGACTTCGGCGCCGGCGAAAGGAGAAGTGGAAGTTGAGCGCGGCGCCCGGTCCGTCCCCGCGGCCGCCGGGGCCACCGTCCCCCTCCCTCCTTCCCTCCCTCTTTCCTCCCTGCCCGCCTGCCCCCGCGGCCCCGCGCCCGTGACTCACCTCGGCGCCGGGGCAGGCTGGTCCGGGCGGGCGAGGCACAGGGCTCTCCCACACGTCGCGCCGCCAATGGCAAGTTGGAGGGCGAGATGCAAATACCAGGTGAGACGCCGGCGCCCCTGATAAAACGACTCCGGGGGGCGGGGTGGAGTGCGGGGGGGAGCTGGGTGGCCGCCGGGGAGGGCCAGGCCAAGGGAGGGGGCAGCGGGGGCGCCCGGGGAGGGGGCGCGAGCCGGCGGAGACCTGCACTGAGACACCCGAGCGAAAGGGGAAATTGCACTAGAAACACACACGTCCCCGCAGGCGGCGGCTGGGGCGGGCGCGGAGGAGGCAGGGCGGGAGGGAGGGAAGAGCCGGAGGGAGGGACCGACGGGAGGGACCGCGGGCGGGCGGGGTGGGTGAGGGAGCGAGGGAGGGACGAGGCGTCTTGGTGGAAACAGCGCCCCTCCACCCCCGGCCCGCCGCGGTCGCCAGCACGGCAGGGGGAGCCGTGCCAGGGGCCCGCGCGGCCTCTCCTTCCCCTAGCGGCTCGCTCGCCCCCGGGGACCGCGAGAGCAGGGCCCCTGCAGAGCTCGTATTGCCCGCCCCTGCCTTGGCCAGTGCCCCTAAGTCGGCTAGCGCGTGGCGGGTGCGGGGCTCTCCTATCCCTGTCTGGGCCCTTCCCGGTGAGAGGCCCCCACACAATGCCCGGGAGAGAAATCTATTCTCAGGGGACCCCGGGTGTTTATGTTCAGGCCCCTCGCGGCCTGCACACACCGCTCGCTTGACGCCTTTGGCCCATACGCTTGCACTCCAGATTATTGAGCGCCTGCTGTGTGCGGACCTGGCGGGAGGGCGGGAGGAGCGCGTGGGTGAGACAAGGAGATGCCCAGAGGATACAATTTGAGAGCTATATGCCAAACACCGCAGGATCCCGGGCCAAATGCATCATCGTGCGCTTGGGGTGACTGGAGAGTTTGGGGGACTTCTTAAGGAAGTCGAGCCTAGGGCTCCTGGTGGGGGAGACCAGGCAGACATGAATCAGGGGAAGGGCTGAGTAGGGAGAGTAGGGCTGACACAGCAGGTGCAAAGGCAGGCAGTGCTGGGGTGCTGGGGAAAAGTTCAGGCTCCCCTTCTCTCCAAAGCCAAGCTGTCCTGTTTGAGGCATCCACTTGTACCCCAGGCTCCCATTCTATCTCCCCCTTACCCTCTCCTCTGACCTGCCTCAGCAACCATAAAAGCCCCCACCCACCCCACCCCCCCATCTGGTCCCACAACTAAGAGGCTCTAGGAGGGAAATGGCTGGAAATTGTCACTTCTTATGGCTCTACATGGTCTGGAGGACGGGTGCACCCAAGCCTCAGCCTTTGAAGTTCCTTGACAGAAAGCAGGAAAGCTGAAGGGGCCCCAGAGGACGACGGCTTTCTGTGGGGCAGGGGTGGCCAAAGGGCCTGAAGTTCAGGGACCTCCTCAACCACCAGCATCTGCCTGCTTCCCCAGCCTTGGGAAAGGATGGTCCCTGGCACAGGACTTGGGGACATGAGTGGTGGTGGATGATGGTGGTGAAGGCAGCTGCAGATTACAGGTTTCCAGGGAAAAACCTAGGGACTGGACTGGGGCACTGGCCCTCGAGATCTCTTGGCTACCTATATAGCCAAGTCCCTGAAATAAGCACCAAGAGCAGATTCCCACTTTTTTTCTTTTCTAAGTGGGCATGCTTTCCCCGGGGGGATTCCGGATCCTGGAACCACATCATTGTCTGCTGGTCTCTGGTCTGTGAGGCTCCCTTCTCGAGGTCAAAGTTGTGGTAGGTCCCACCTATCCCTAAACCCCCTTTATCTTGACTTTGAAACTCACCAGTGGACACAAACACACATACCTTTCCATTTTGCTAAGAGTTCAGTGGTCTCTAACATCAGACAGGCCTGAGTTCCTATTCCAACTGCACCATTTATCAGCTATGTGTCTTTGGGCAAGTCACTTAAACTCTCTGAGCTTCACTTTCCTTATTTTTAAGTTGGGAATAATAAGAACCTACATCAAAAGGCTGTAGTGACGACTGAATAACATAACCCACGTCTATGGCAGTGCCTGGTGTCTAGTAACCCCTCCATAAATGTTAGCTACCTTCAGCATCATCCTCATCCTCACTGCACTTTTCTAACCCAGCTCTCAGGAGAGACTGATCGGTCCAGGCCAGAAGCTGCTGAGGACGAATGGTGAGATCCCTCCTATAAATGTTTGTGGTTTAAACCAAATCTGAAGCTTCAAGGCATGGCAAAGCCAGAGGAGAGGTCTTCCTCTTGGGAAGGGCTGGGAAAGAGGTCAAGCACTGTGCCAACCAACTAACAGTGACTGGTCCTAATACCTGCCAGTGACCTGGAGCCTATTTGTGGGAATCTCGTAAGTTCCCACCTTCCTCAGCCACTCAGAACTAACCACAGCACCGTAATCTGGGAGTTGCAGCCAAAGCAAACCCCCCCCCCCTTGATGAATATCTTGTGCTGACCTCGCCTTGGGGAGCCATGGGCCACACGAGTGACTTTCCTGGCTCCATGGCTCCAGGTCAACCAGGCTGCCCTTCCCAATGACTTTGCTGCTCCCCAGACTGCCAGCCCTTCCCCACCTGGCTCCCCACTCTTCCATTTACCCATTGGGTGAGCCCCAGCCAGGAGGGACCAGCCGACTGAGATCACTACTCCTGATGACAGCCATGCTGTCTCTGCCAGTGGCTCATTCCCTGACTTGGCAGGAATTCCCCTTCTCGAGTTGCCCATGGATGCCCAGACTGCACCATCCAGTGTGCACTCTCAGTCTTTCTCCTTCCAGCCCGTCCCCCCCCCACCCCTCGAACTCCGATTCAGTCCTCTCGAGCCTCAGAACATGGATCCTTCCAAGAGTGGGGGGCCTTCTGGCTGCCCACAGCCTGTGCAGGGCCAGCTTGCCATTCCAGTATTCAACTTGCCTTCCCACCTTGGCAACTTTCTCAGGTTCTCTTTCTCCCCTCTTTCAAGCAGTGCCTATGTTCTCCTGCAAATAGCCCAGGTTCTTTAGAGACAAAGTGACTGGTTGCTTCCCCCCCTCTTAACCCCTTGGCCTCAACAAATTCTATTCAAACCTGTGGCTAGAACAAAATACCACAGTGCCACACTTACTGTAGCCATCCATGGCCCTTACTTTCCACCACAGATACAAGCTAGAAAAGTCACCCATCAATCGGACTTTCAGAATAAGAAGCATACTCAAAAGCCAGGAGAGAAGTTATAGTTTAAAAGAAATCCAGGTGCGCCTGGGTGGCGCAGTCGGTTAAGCGTCCGACTTCAGCCAGGTCACGATCTCGTGGTCCGTGAGTTCGAGCCCCGCGTCGGGCTCTGGGCTGATGGCTCAGAGCCTGGAGCCTGTTTCCGATTCTGTGTCTCCCTCTCTCTCTGCCCCTCCCCCGTTCATGCTCTGTCTCTCTCTGTCCCAAAAATAAATAAAAAACGTTGAAAAAAATTAAAAAAAAAAAAAAAAGAAATCCTCCCACCTGTAAAGCTGAGAAGCCCCCTATAATCCTTTCTGAACAGCCAGCAATCATTCCTCTGTTGATATGTTCAATAACACCAGATTTGCCTCCATTGGGTTTATGTGATGAGGCCCTAGAAAGCTCCAAATGACAGACAGCAATTTCTACATCCCAGGTTGTGGCTGGCCATCATAATGAGTATTCTAAAAAGATTGTGGGGGGGGGGGGGTGGGGGGGCTCCATCCATTAAGTGTTCAACTGCTGGTTTTGACTCAGGTCACGATCCCAAGGTTTGTCAGATTGAGCCCTACGTTGGGCTCTGTGCTGACCAAGTGGAGTCTGCTTGGGATTCTCTTTCTCCCTCTCTCTCTGCCCCTCCCCTCGCTCATGCTCATTCTCTCTCTCTCAAAATAAATAAATAAACCTTAAAAAAAAACAGAAGGAAGCTAACATTTAAACAAAATTTTAAATAAAAAGATTATTCAGGGGACGCCTGAGAGGCTCAGTTGGTTGAGCACCTGACTCTTGGTTTCAGCTCAGGTCATGGTCTCACAGTTCAGTTTGTGCGATCCAGCCTGCGTTGACAGTGTGGAACCTGCTTGGAATTCTCTCTCCCTCTCTCTCTGCCCCTCCCTCCCTTCTCTCTCTGTCTGTCTCTCAAAATAAATAAATAAACTTCAAAAAAGATTGTTGGGTAGCTGCAATATAAGAATTCCTTGAGGTAGGTTATATACCAAAGTGCTCCTTACCCAGATGGTGGTCTCTTGGCCATGTCCATACTGGGGACTACGGGTGGGGGGGGGGGGGTGTGCCCAGGCCAAAGAAAAGGCATGCAGATGGGAAGATTTCATTGGGAACAACTTCTCAGATCATGACTTTCATCTGGCCAGCCACCTTCCTTGGCTGGGGATCCTGGAAAGCCACTTGGTACCCCCACCCCAAGTTGCTCTCATTAAAATGGAGAGTTACACAGTTCCACTCTAGGCCTTTGCTGTGACAGGCTCGGGCACCAGAATATCTCCTACAAAACTTCAGAGGACCTCTGGGCTTCACCTCTTGGAGGGCTGGTGAGCAGTTCAAGGGTCCGGTGGAGTGAGATGACAGCCTCACATAGCAAGTGCTACAGCCTTGAGTCACTGCTCCTTATGTCCATACTCAGTGCAGTGGCTCCTGGGAGGCGCTGTCCCCACCATATACATTGCCGGGAGTGGGCCTAGTGTTTGGGAAACAGATTTAGTGCCCTTCAGGCCAGGCCTCTGGGTTGGTGGGAGCTTTCTGAGGTGGGAGGAGGAGGAGAGACTCAATCCTTTGGTTCATTTGCCAAAAAGAAGGAAGAAGTGGCTTCAAGCAGAGTTCAGCAAATGAAAGCAAGTCGCTGAAGTCTAATCCTACTGGCCCTTAGCCCCTATCTTGGAGCCATGGAAAAGTCCCTGGGACCAGGGCCAAGGGCAGGCGCCTACTCTGGGGCACCTATCAGAGGCAGCGCAGCATGCAGAGTGTTGAGGCCACGATCCAGTGGAACTAGAGTTAACTCCTCAACCTCTGATGTGTCATCTTGTGTGGCTGGCAGCCTCACTGTGCCCTGCGGCCCTGCGCAGATGCCTAGCAACACCCCAAAGGCACCTCCCCTCATGGCCTGCAGGAAAAAACGAGTGGGTCTAAGGGGGCCTTGGCCCAAGGGGCTGCTGTTTGGGGGCAGAGATTGGGATGGGGGGGCAGAGAGATGTCAACATATAGAGGTCTTCCTGGAGGAGGTGCCAAGTGATTTCTGGGGCCCCCCTTGAATGTGCTGGGGGACAGGGAGCATGAAGCCACCAAGCTAGGTGTTCCCTTCTCAGGTGGAGA